CCTGCAGTATAAGAAATATGATTAGTATGTAATGATGAGTAAAATTATATTTATAGCTGTTTTTCAACGTTTACCACATTTCACAAAATAACCTGCGCAACTTTGCCCGATCTGTTGACTATGGAAAATTATGTCTATGAGGTTCAGTCTTAACAAAGAAATTATTGAAAATTGTAGAGAAATGTACAGAATTTTGCTATAAAATGTTGATGGGAAAATTTCTGGCATTCATAGTGGTAATTGAAACCTGTTTTTTCTTGTTTTAATTTCTGTTTCACACCATTTTTGTGTTCTGTCAATTTATGAAAGCTTTTAGAAAACAAAGGAGATTTATGTTTCGCATCAAATATTTGAACGTACACGAGATGAGTTATTCATTATTTTATTATTACCGGTATTAGTATGTCATGCCTGTGACAAAAAAATGTCCTTATTATCTTGTCAGATAGAATTTTTTTTTCAATTTTGTGAATGGTGGGTTTACAACATTAATTAAAATATCAGTAATTAGATGAAATTATACAAGAAAATAGACATGGGAGTTGATGGGAAAAATGGCATAGAGATAGCTGCAATTGTGCATTTCTGACAATCAAAACTAATGCTGCTGTTTACTCGCTCGTTTCATTAACAGTTTCACTGACAATACAGTAAAATGCCTTAAATATATGAATGACAATTATTTCTATATTTCACAAATAAGGAAAACACACCATTTTAGTTGTAGATATTACTGAAAATTTGAGTTTGGTTGCATTTCTTTGATTCCAAATTTATCTACACCATATTCGCCGCCTCTCTTTCGATGCAGACCCTTTGTCGATTGCGGCGCCCTGCCGTTTTTTTTTTACTTGTCTTGGCCAACTTGAAGAAATTATAAAAATATGCCCTGACAATTCAGCAACATTATCAATGCTTGAACCATTTATAATCAAAATATTTGAAATAACACATAAGTGGTTTGCATTGAGTAAGAGATCTTGTCCACATTGCAAGCATGTGTTAATATTACCGGCTATTCATCTATATTGTTCATAGGAAATCCTGATTTTTGGCTGCTTGGGTCTGTCACATTGAAAGCATTATAAGTTGTCATTACCGACTGTAATGAAATAAGCTCTACTATGATTCAGAGCTAAAAGCTGGGAATCAAATGTGTACAAATCCAATCCATAATTTGTATATGCAATGTACTTTGTTAGAAAAGGCTATTAATTCAGTGATTTTTTTTTCCTTTCGCTATCCAAATTACAGATCTTAAATCTGCCACTACTCTGTTATTAGCATTGTGAACGTTCTTACACACGAGGTTCAAACGCTGAGAAGTGACATACGTCGTCTTTCACTATTGTGATTTGATTGGGAATCAATATAAGATTGGAAAAGGCGGAATGTAATAGTTCAGTATTGACGTAGCGGATGTCTGCTTAATTTGATTTCCAATCTATTTATTTTGTTGTGGAGTCGGAAGCCATGTTGCAACAACATGTGCCGCTACTGGATGACCTTGTTGAGTATTTTAGTATTTAAATACCGAAACCGAGCAAATAATCAGGTGGTCGAATTTTATAGAGGGGCCGAGTTTTTATGGTAGTATGGTTGAATTATTCATACACAGTTTTGTGTATGATTT